GGCGGTGCTGGAGTACCTCTACACCGGGCAGTTCAGCTCCAGCCCCGACCTCGACGACATGAAGCTCATCATCCTCGCCAACCGCCTCTGCCTGCCGCATCTGGTGGCTCTCACCGGTGAGTTAGGGTGGCTGCAGCGGGACAGCGTCCCCCCACTGTCCCCAAGCTTGGTGGCAGCCCAGTGCTCCCGCTGTCACCCAGTCCCAGCCACCCTGTAACCCTGCGTGTCCCCCACAGAGCAGTACACCGTCACCGGCCTGATGGAGGCGGCGCAAATGATGGTGGACATCGATGGGGACGTGCTCGTGTTCCTGGAGCTGGCTCAGGTAGGACGCGGTGGGACAGGACCCCGCGACAGCAGGGGATGGGGCCAGGGGCTGGGTGGTGCCGCACAGAGGGGTCTGGCAGCTCCAGGGGGTGATGCTGTCCTGGCAGAGAGGACAACTGGGTCTGGTCTTGGATGTCTGTGGAGGAATAGGGCGAATTCCTCCTGCTTCCCCGGTGATCCGTGCCGTGGTGGCTCTGACACAGGCTCCATCTCTTCCAGTTCCACTGCGCCTACCAGCTTGCCGACTGGTGCCTCCATCACATCTGCACCAACTACAACAACGTCTGCCGCAAGTTTCCCCGGGACATGAAGGCCATGTCGGGAGGTGAGCAGGGGCCGGGGCGGGATGAGGGGAGTCCTGGTGGTCCCGGTGCTGTCCTCACGCCCCCCCTCTCCCTGCAGAGAACCAGGAGTACTTTGAGAAGCACCGCTGGCCGCCGGTGTGGTACCTGAAGGAGGAGGATCACTACCAGCGGGCGAAGAAGGAGAGGGAGAAGGAAGACTACCTCCACCTCAAACGGCAGCCCAAGAGGCGATGGCTCTTCTGGAACGCCTCCTCCTCCCCTTCCTCCCCTCCTTCATCGTCGGCAGCCACAGCCTCCTCTTCCTCCTCCTCCTCCTCCTCGGCTGTGGTTTGAAAGCCCGTCCTTGCCCTGGCTCCAGCATCCCTGGGAGGAGACGGGGAGAAGGAGGAGGAGGAGGAGGAAGGGTGGGATGAGCTGCCCCAGTGCCAGACGTGGAGCGGACACCACCAGCCGAAGACCCAGAGGAGATGGTGGTAGCAGGGGTCCGTCCCTGCGGAGAGGCTCGGGGCCGGGCGCCAGCCCCCAGCGCTCCTGGAGCCCTGCTCTCCCTGCGCCACGGCTGCCAGCGCGCTGCAGGGACCGAGCAGCAGGAGAAACTCATGTTTACAGGAGCACGAGGGCTGTGTCATGCTTTTATTTTGAGGTTTGTTAGGTTGTTTTTTTTTTTTTGAACATCAGCAGCATGAGGAAGAAGAAGCAGCAGCCCATCCCACTTCCACTTCAATTTGTAACCAGAAGCTGCGAGATATGGTTTGTTTGTCTGATGGCATCTCGCCCCCGCAGGTAGCTGGAGCTGCCATGGGGGTCCTGCCACCCCCTTTGACTTGCAGCAGGGTCAGGCACGGTGCAGGGGACCCCGGTCCCCACATGCTTCCAGGCACTGCAGCATTCCTCCTTCTACTCACAAGCGGGGTCTGTCTTATTTCGGGGAACAGGAGGGGACAGGAGTCCTCTCCTCCCTGCCTCTTAACTTTTCTTTTTTGTTTCAAAAGAAAACTTAAAGCAAAAAAAAAAACAAACCAATCCCAAACTCCCGCCCCACAACCTGCCACACCAGAAACCGACCCCAGGCCCTTGGCTTGGGATTTTAGCCTGGAAGGCTCCATTGTAATAAATGGTATTTTAAAAGCCCAGCGTGGTCCCTGTGTGTTTGGGAGGAAGCAGCTGGACATGGGGCATCCTTGTGCCCTGCTTGGGGTGACACCAGCACCCCCCTACCAGCGCTCCCGGGATGGCCAGGGACAATGGAGAAGCATTGCGGGATCCAGCCATCAAACAAACGCTGTACGCTGAGAGGCGGCTTTACCATCGGACTAACTTCACGTGTCCCACCCGTGTCCTTGTAGGTGCACAACCACAACGGGGACGTGGCAGGAGAAGGCAGCACAGTGCTGGGACAGAGCTGCCCGCCCCGGGGGGGGTTGCAGGACTGTCAGGCAGGGAGGGACCCAAAACTCTGCTCGCCCTCCCCAGCCGGGAAGGGGAAAGCTCCTTTGAGCCCATTCCCGGCAAAGAGGCTGCTGTGAGCACGCAGGGATGCTCCTGGCAGGCAGGGATGCTCCCACTGGTGTCCCCTCCCGCTCCGCATTGCTCCTCTTCCCGGCTGGCCTCGATGGAGCACCTTGGAGTCACTCATTTCACATGCTCATCCTCAGCTATGGATGCAGGAGCGGGATTGCGGTTCCAGCGAGCTTACACTCGGTGTTTTCACACTTTGCAGCACCAGCGAGCAGGTAGGACAAGAAGTTTCTTTCCCTTTCGAATCCAGGCGCTCACCGCTGCTTCTGGGTCCTGTTTGCCTTCCCCAGGCCAGGACCTGAGCCACCATGTCCCAGCACTAAATCCTGCATGCGCCTGGCTCTGCAGGAGCTCCCTGCCCAGGTTTGCATGCTTGGGAAGGCATGCTGGGGCTGCCTGGGACAGGACCTCTGGCATGAAGCCTCCTGGCAGGTCACTGAAAGCTCCTGCTTTTAGCACTTGCGCCAGAGCTGCGTTATCAATAAACCCAATTGCAGCGCGAAGGCTGGCAGGCAGCTCAAGGGTGGCTTTCTGGAGCAAGCAGAGCCCTTCTCTCACCAAGCACCGCATGGATTTGCAACACAGCTATTGCAACACACGAAGCCCTGGCTGGGTGTAGCCAGAGTGGGGAGCGCCGCAGCCCCCCGCCCCCGGCACAGCAGCTCCGTCACGGGGGTCAGCAGCATCGCTTGGTCCCGGGGTCCCAGCCCCTGCACGCTCGAGGGACTGACATTTCAGCTTCCTACTTTTGCAGGCAACCAGAGACGGGACTCGTGGCAGAGACGTAAAGGCAGAGCCCAGGTTTGCTGCTGAGGACTTTTCCTGGCAGGAGCATCACTGGTGGGGACCATTCCCAGCAGGATGCTGGTGTGGCAGAGCACTAACGCCATGGGCTGGGTCCTCGGTGCCACACGGAACAACTGCTGAGCATCTGGTCCAGCTCCTTTGGTGCCCACTGAGACCTAGAACAGACCATCGCCAGCATTATGGCAGAGCAAGGGGAAAAAAAGATAAGAAATCAGGAGGATTTTTTAAAAGTTTATTCTTTCTTCATAAAAGAAACATGTAAAAACTGGAAATAGCAAACTGGCTGGGCCAGAGGTCTGTATAAAAACACACAATCATGCATAGTAAAAAACCACTATTTTTATATTAGCTTTTAAGTTAACTATGTACACGTTTACAATTACTAAATAAATACATAAATACAGACTTTCTGCTTGTGTTTCATAGATAGGATTTTTTTGGCGAGGAGGGGGGAGAAGGGGCAGCAGCAGTAGGGACGGGGTGCTTCGCACTACAGGGCAGCCCTGGCCACAGAGAGGGGCTGGCGATGCCCCTCACCCTCTCCCACCGTGCTGGGGAAGGTCCCGGTGGGCTGGGCTGGACCAGGGTGGCAGCACATGTAGCCAGCTCAAGTAATGCAGTAGTTTTTCCAGCCAAGTTGTCCCTGAGCTATGTGTGAGAGCCAGAGCAAGGGGCAAAGTGTTTGAGGAGCAACCCATCCAGCTGGAAGATGGATGGCAGGTACCCACAGTCATGCTTGGACCTCAGTGCCTTTACCTTTCCATGCTGGCTGGAGGGAGACAGGGACAGCAAAGCCACCCCACGGCCAAGGGAATGAGAATTAACCAACTTGGCCAAGGTCACGGAGAAGGAGGTTTCTGGCACACCGATAGTCTGCTACCCACGTTCCCCATCCCGCTCTGAGGAGGAGCTCACTTGCTCCCCGCACTGACCCTTTTCTCAGGCAACCCCAGTGATCACAGAGCAAGTAGATCATTCCAACCCTCCCCTCACAGTCCAGTTTCAAACTGATTCCTAACAGCAAGCAGAACCGCTATCAGCTAAAATGCAATGCAGTCAATAGCTTTGAGAAAGTAACCCAAGAACCAGTTCATTCTTGCCCATTGAGCATACAGTATTAAGCTTGCTGGCCAGCTTAGAGATGTTCTACAAGCAGAAGCCGTTGCATAATGCCAGGAACCCCCCAAAAAAAAGGATTATCCAGTTAAAAACCCCAGGGATGCCTACATCCTGCAAAGGCCCTTCTCCGCACTGATCCTGAAGATGTCCATATAGTACCAGTGCTTCCAAGAGAGAGTGTCCCAGAGGCACCTTGCAATAGTTGTAGGCTCTTTGCATTGACCTAGTGAAATCAAGTCACCAGCTTGGATTTCATAAGGAAGCACCAACATCGAGCCCATAGCTTCGGCAGAGAGGGCCACAAGGCTTGTACTTCATGAGAGGATCAACTCCTCTGAGCTCAGCTGAACTGTACAATGGCTTCAAAAGCAAAGAGCCACAGGAAAGCTATAAGAAGATAAAACTGAAGTGTTCTTGGAGGTATTTATGACTTCAGTTTTAAGTAGGGAGATGCAGGGCCTGCCCTGCTCCTCAGATTAGTTCGTACTGGAAAGATCCCTGCTGGACCAGCTTGGAGGAGATGTCCTCTGCCACCCCTCCGAGATTGATCTCATGCAGGGTCTCCAGCAGCGTGTTCACAGAGGCGTTCATCCCTTCTCTGTTCTGCCACATGTTCAGCATCTGGAAGAAGGGCTCCAGCGAATACTTGTCGTTCATCTCCGCGAGGGCAATGTCATTCTCCAGCAGACCGAGGGCTCGGCCGAATCTCTTCCAGTCCTTGGTGGGCACGTCTCGGGCAAAGATGTCAAAAGAG